ATCCTATTGAATCTAAGACATTGTTTTCACACTTTAATATCTCTCAACTCTGATGTGTGTTACAATCAATGAAACTGTACAACCAATACTGGCCAGATGGCAGTTATGATATAGTTGTCATTGCCTGTGCAGACACAAGCTTGATTATTCTAGTCAATAATATTATGTGAAATAAACAAAACATTTTTCCTTAAGTTAGAAAGTGATTTATGAAAAACTGAACTATGAATGTGAACAAGTTTTGGTAATAGCTTAACCAATTTATTTTGCTTCTACTTTCCGTTCAATGTATATATGTGATGATATATAATAAAATCTATATCTAAGTAATTATTTAAGAGTCCTTTGAATAAAGTATAAAACAAATACTCTTAGTGGCAAGAGAACCATAATTAGTTGGCAATGGTCTTTCTTTCTCTTACCTCAAATAATTCTTGAATTGTATCATAGTGTTAGAGTAAGTGTTAAGCAAATATAAGGTAATACTAAGGCCATTAACTGCAGGGATAGACATTACATGAGCTCATAATCATAATAATGATTTTAAAACTTCTTGCTTTTTTGACAAAGGAACATGCTTCATGGAAAGCTTCATCTAGATACTGGAATCTTTGACTATTCAAAGTAAAATGCAAATTCTTAAAGTACCAAGAAATTCTATAAGAAGCTTTGTATAGTACTAACTAGTTAATTTTAAATTTTTCACCCAAAATAATATTTTCTCATTACTTTCTTCACTCTACGTCCACTCTCCTCTCTCTAAATAAATTGGATGTATTTCCAAAGAGGTAGAGCAACTTACTTTGTAAACATTGATTCATTGCATTAATAATATTGAGATGAGAACACATTTACTGCAAATTTACCCTCTCAGAGATGACTTAATCACAAATTATTTACTCATGACATGTCTTTAGTAAAGTATAACAATGATATTAATTCTTCTCTGGGTAATGTGCTTGCCTCAAGAAAAGTAGTTTGTTACTCAGAGCTACTAGATTCTATTTATGAGTTTTAGTTTATTATTTCTAACTCAAATTTCAGATAGATTATGTTCAATTCTAATTTAGGCTCTATGCTATGCAATTGTGAAATGTGTAGGAAAATAGAGCAACATGAACGCAAGACCAGTTACTCAGTGGACACTGTCTTATCTCCAATATTGTTCTTTCTTATTGATTTTCAAGCATTAGAGATGCATTACCATGCTATGAAAGATAAGCAAACAGTGTGATAATGATCTATAATAATGTGTTTTTATTCTTTAAAGAACAGTAAAGAGAATTAAAGAAATAAAAGCTCCTGGTATAAGAAACGTAATCATTCAAATACACAAACCCACTAGAAATACGAAGTTGATTAAACATAACCTTACCTTTGCTTATGGGATCTATTATTCCATAGATATTTCAGTTAGATTTTAATGGAGGCATAATACAGTTAAACCACCCAAACTAAATGGGACTAAATGTATCAACTGAAAAAATTAACTTCTTCTAACTATTAAGATATGCACAATAGTTTCACTTATGTTAGTCAAATATAAGAGTAGATTTCTTTATTGCAAGGAGTAATCATAACATTTTAATGAGTGTGTACCTTTTGATATCTATTCAAATCTCAAATTTCAGTTGAAGCATGAAAATTATTAAGTACAGCAATGTTATTTTAAAAGTCTCCTTTTAACATATACTTGGTCCTAACAAATGTTTTTGTAATGTAGTGACTATCTAAAATTAAATATGCCGCTGAAAATGAAGGTTTTCAAGACCTATGTAGCAAGCATAAGCCATAAAAATGGACTAATTCTTCTCATATATAATAGGATGTCCACTGATCAATATCCATTGATCATTATGTATCATTATGTATCATTATGTATCCATTACATAATGGATCATTACTGTATCCATTCATTAGCATAGCACCCCCACATACACATACACACAAAAGTTTCATGTTTTTAATGGAGTTGTCACAGAAATGAGTTTTGAGCTCTTATATGAAGAGGTAACCTTAAAATTAAAGTCCTTTATAGTTTCATTTTTGTGTTTTTAAGAGCCCCTGAATTTCAAGAGGTATTATTTGGAGGCCAGAAATTATTAATGGGCTTCTGATATTAAAATTATAACACAAAATTCTATGTGTGTGTTTATGAGACCCAAAGTTTCAAAGAGCTAAAAACAAACCAGGAGTATGTCTGGTTTAATTAACACACTATATTTTTAAAATATTCAAAGATACCATGGCTGATTCATGTCAATGTATGACAAAAACCACTACAATATTGTAAAGTAATTAGCCTCCAACTAATAAAAAATTTTAAAAAATAAAATAAAATATTCAAAGATAATACTCATTTTAAAACAGTCCTTATATTCAGACAATCAAATAACACAATTTCTGTAACAAAATTATAGAAATACTAAAAAGGAGGAATCTTTTAAATGACCTTCATTTACTGTTACAGATAAATTGTCATTCTACTGTTCACAGGAATCTTTGCGGTTCATAATAATGTCTTAATGCTTTAGAGAAAGCAACATCTCCATGGAAAGAAAAAATATTGAGGTCTTTTCCTTTGGGGAATGTTAGTGTTAATCTATTAGGTATGACTGAATAAAGACAAATAAAAATACATTTTAACCTCCATTTACAGAAAGTCTATAAATGGAATTATCACATTTGTTACCACTGTGTAGTTAAAAGTCTTTGGGTCTCTAAAATCAAAATGACAATCTTTTAATAATTAAAAAATTACTAATTAAATAGATGTCTGGTAGTCATCAAAATAATGTCATCTTAACTTTGGACATCAGCATATGAGTGGTTTCTAAGACATTTGGAATTTTATATTTAAAAGACTTTATAAACTTATAAATGATAAAATTCCTCATAATATTTCTTAACATATGATATTGTAAGATGACACGACCCTTCAACAGGACAGATTTTTTAATTTTTGTAGAGGTAGCAAATTAAATGCAAATATTATTATATTCTAAAACGACTCATCACCTGAAGATTTGGAAAGAAGGACATTAAATTGCGGATTATCAAGAGGACACAATAACATTTAAAACCACAGATCAGAACAGGTCCAGAGGTCCCTAACCTAGTTCATCCTTCCTAGTTTTCCTTCATTCTCAAATGTGCAACAGATACTTTGAAAGATTTTGACTGCCAGTCAAAAATTAAATATATTTATACCTTTTTATTTAAAATTTAAAAAATCTTTATATATCTGTATTTTAAAAATTAAAGCAATTTCAGTTTGCTTTAGCATCCGATAATACGCAGTAAACATTACTATACTGAGGTCATAGCTTAACCAAAAATAATTTGTTGTTTTGAAAAGTGTTAAAGTTTCATAATTAAATAAACAATTCCCATCATTGTTCTCAAATATTTAATAGCTTATAAACTTTAGTCATTAAATATAAACGTTCCTACAGTTCTAGGAACCTCTAACTGAGATTAAGCTATATAGTGCAATACAATCTCTTGAGAGGAAAGCAAATTCAATTAGACCACTTACACAGCTAGTTAATGGCAGAGTTGTACACTGATCTTTCCACAATGCTATATTTATATAGTTATATTTTATAAACTGTAGAAATCAGACACTTAAACATTGCTAACCATAATGAAGTATGAACCCAGTTTCCCTGATTGCTCCTGACCTCTTTTTTAATGAATAGAGGCACAAAATGTCACTTGTTCTCTTCCACTATGGAAAGTCTTCAAACTGCTTCACTTTTCATTTGTTTTACCCTTCCTGAATCTATACTTTTACCTTAACAAATTGCCTAGCATGTATAGATTTCTGATTTCTACACAGAACTCTTTTTGCAAAATATTTATATATTTATATTTTAAAAACACCTTTTAAATTGGATTACTTTTTATCATAGCATTATACCAAGTAAATTCTCACTGACATTGCACTGACCATATGCAGAAAACCAGAAAAGTGGAGGGAATTAGGATCAGAAATTTATATGCAGGGAAATGGTTTCAAGTTTGCAAACACAGGTAGGCACTGAATATTTGAAAACCGAATAATTAAGAACTCATATTATTTACTAATTCTATAATTTGGAATATTCTGGATTATTCTTAAACATAATCTTTTAATATGTGAAAATAAGTAGGTAAGCAATTATATCTTTGCTATACATCACTGCACAAAAATTAAACATATAAAAATATACTGGGCAATGCAACAGCAAATAGAATGCTAATAATACTAATATTAATAGTAATAGACTAAAATAATATTAATAAAAACAGAAACTTGTTTTTCCATTATATAAAGCATAGAACAATAAATCTACTGTACATATGGGGTCCTCATATTATTATATTTCTTTGCTCTTTCAATTAACTAATATATACAAAGTTAAGAAACTATATTTGTATAGTATATTTATATCATTAGCTATTGTTCCATAGACTATTACATTTTTTATCAATTTTAAGATTATAACAGATACACATGATTAATTCTGCTATAGTAATGTATCATATTAAGGGGCAAGACAGACATACTTGGATTATCAGATACCCATGAAATGGAAAAAATTTGATTATCAAAAAATTCTATGAGATACAAACCAAAAAATTAATATTTATTGCCCAGAATATTCCTTTAAATTGTAAGAGTTATAAAAATAAATTATGTTTTTATAATGTGATTACCTAAATTAAAGTGATTGAAGGTTACTTAATCAACAAAACTAATATTTGTACTACTATAAATTCTAACACTATTTTAAAAAAACTGCTTTCAACTAAATAATGCTTCTACAGATATGGATTTAAAATGACAGTGGCAAATTTTGCTCTAAAGCTTAAAAAATGCTACATTGACTTGTTTAATCTTAATAAATGAAATTGATTTGAAAAACTCTATTTGAAAGGAGTATGTCAATTAAGCACTAGAGATCCATATGTTTGTCTGAATCTTTAAATAAAACATCAAGTAATATAACTATTACCTCTCTCCGCCGAGAAGCCCAACATGTTTGCTTGATCTTCCATACCACAGCAGCCACCAATAATAAAGATAAAAAACAACTAGAAAATAAAACACAAATAAATTTAGCCTTAAACACTTGTAATATATCATGAAATAATAAAAGAATATGTAGAATATTTTAAAATATATTTAAGTAATCACTTTGCCTTGGTATGAATTCAAGAAAAAAGGGGCAAATTAGAAATTTTTAAAACATTCTCAAGTAAAATCAAAGTATATGGGTGGAAAAAATTATTTATACTCCTTCTGATACAGTATGGTCTATCTCTCAGATTTTCTCTGTCAGAAGGAATGTAACTTTACAATTCTATTGGTTTTACATAGCAATAAATCTATCTAGAATTGCTACTGAGTTATAAATTTCGGCAATTTTATAAATTTAAAGATCACACGTTTATTCATTTTAAATTACCAGCAACTATCTTATATCTGAGAATATTCCTATAGTTCTGAACTGAAGGCAATCTAGCCCTTTCCCCTCTGCCCCTGCCCTGGACCTGGGACATTTAAAAACATCTAGATACGTATTGCTTTTGAACTGCAGTTTTGGAGAAGACTCTGACAGCAAGATCAAACCAGTCAATACTAAAGGAAATCCGTTCTGAATATTCATTGAAAGGACTGATGCTAAAGCTAAAGCTCCAATTTTGTGGCCACCTGATGTGAAGAACTGACTTACTGGAAAAGATCCTGCTACTGGAAAAGACTGAGGGCAGGATGATAAGGGGACGGCAGAAGATGAGATGGTTGGATGGCATCACCAACTCAATGGACTCGAGTTTGAGCAAACTCCAGGAGATGGTGAAGGACAGGGAAGCCTCGCATGCTATAGTCCACGGGATTGCAAAGAGTTGGACGTGACTTAGCAGCTGAACAATAAGATATATGTCTGATTACCACACTGGGAAAGAAGTACAACTATACTCCAGTGAGTACAGCCAGGGATGCTACTAAGTATCCTGAAATGCACAGGACTGCCCCCAGTGACAAAGAATTATTCAATCCAAAACACCAGTTGTACTGAAGTTGAGAATCCCTGTATATGCCCATGTGTAAATTAAGAAATAATTCAGTTACAATGTACATACATGTGGTCAATATGTATGAAGTACAATATGCCATAGACTATGATAATGGAGAATATACATTTTTATCAGTAATTTGAGACTGATAAATTTCAAAACAACAGATTTATGTGAACATGATTAAGCAACCCCAGCCATACATTACTGCTTTTTTTTTTCTTTCTTTGCTCTGTGGTCAAAGATTATGCTATGAAAAGACCCAGGAGTGAGTGGAACAGGGCCACTACAAATTCAGTGGTCACTGATCATTACAAAAAAAACCTGGTCTTCACTCCTAAATGATAATCATTGTATTCATCGACTGATTCACTCATGAGCAGTGTAAATGTTGACACTTTCTTCTCTTGTCAAATCCTTAAATATATTTTTTCTCCTTAAATATATTTTTTTCTCCTTGCCTCACTTAGAGATCTTAGAATATCTTTGAATGATGATGACAAAGACAACTCTAACACCGAAAGACTGAGTAGGAACACATTCCAGGTAAGTACTAGGTATGTCACACTACTCTAAGTACATTTCCAGATAGGATATACTATTCTCATTTTAGAAAAGAAAATCCAATGCTAGAGAAGTTCAAAGTAAGTTGCTTACAGTCATACAGAGAGTTTAAGTGATAGAGTAAAAATGCAAAATGAGCCATGTAAGCCTCAAACTCTTTCCTCCCCACCTGTTGGGAACTCTGAGCTTGCACACTATCTCACAACCAGTTGTTTTACATATTCCCCAGGATCAACCACCGAGGTGCCTTTCTGGTTATTACATAATTGTCTTTCTCCCAAATATTTATAAGCTCATTTTCTTCGTCTAAATTCAATTTTTCAGAAGTGCTCAAGTCCCGCATCTCCTAAAATAAAAAGCAATAATCCTATTTTATTAATCCTGAAGCTTTCTCTAGTTGACTGAGCAAGTGGTCCACATAGCCACTGCCATGTCAATCTTCTCATAACTTACTCTGATTCAGCATCTTATAATTTGGTATCTAATTTTTATACTAATAAAACTGTTAGTATTGATAATTAATGTTTACATAGTATGCAACATTTTAGTGACTACTTTCCTCACTTTTAAAAAATTAAATAAACTAGTCTTTTCTCTGTCAACTGACTTTTACTTCTCAATTGACAATACCAACCATCCATTATTTTCCTTCTGAACACTTAATTTTCTTGGCTTTCTTTCATCCTTCTTGACACACTATGGGGTTAACAAAGGTAGACTGCACTCCAGATTCCTTGCTTTAAACTATGGACATCCCTAAAATTTCATTCACAAAACCATGTTGCTATCTATTCTTGTTCTCAGAGAAAGAGGTCAGTAACTCTCATGGCTTCAACCGAGACCTAAATAGGAATCATTTCCAAATAAAAGTCATTAAACCTGCCGAAATGAGAGCATCTTATCATTAGAAGAGACCTATGACATTATTTAGTTCAGACTCCCTCCCAGGAAAGAAACTCCCAGCAGAACACTGATAGTGAGCCAGAGCCTAATTAAATATTTATGGTAGCTAAGAAGATGCTGACTCATGTTAGTACATTTTATTTTCAAGACATTAGCTCAAACTATGAAATTTTATATTAACCTGTCTTTCTAACATTAATTAATCAGTGCTGCTTCTGTCTCTGGGTTACACTGAATCAGTCATTTCCTTCTTCTTCTACATGCTAATACTTCTTTATATAGTTGAAGACACACATGATTCCTCTAGCCCAGTGGCTATCAATCAGGAGAGTTTTGCTTTCCAGGGCACATTTGGCAGTGGCTGGAGACCTTTTTGGTTATCAACACTTGGTGGAAACAAGTGGATGCTGGGAAATATGCTACAATAGAGAGGCCAGTCCACCACCCAATCACAAAGATTTTCCCCAGCCCAACTTGCCAATAGTGTTGAAACCATGTTCTAGTCTGAATTGCTGGCACAGAAGTTATACGTCCCATGTTATTTCCAGGTTAACATGAAACTGCTGAAATATGGTACTGAGACTTGATCATTTACATATAATCTAAGGATCCATTTAATTTGAATTTAAGTCCCACCATATAAGAATTTTAACATAAGAGATAAATCTGCCATATACAAACTGAACTCAAGAATAACATTCATAGTAAAAGGAACTAATATCTACTGAGTAATATGTACCAAGCACTGCATGCCGTGTTTCACATGCATTAATTCTTTCATTACCACAATCACACATGATATATATTCATTCTAAAGATGACAAAGTTGAGGTCATGAAGTGTTTACATAAATTGCCAAAGTTACTAAAGTCTTAAATTGCAAGTCCTCCCCTTTATGTTGCCTTGTCTATTATTTTCCAGCTAAAATGTCAAAATACATTCAATTTTATCATCCCTTATATTCAATTGGACATCACATCTTGCCAACTATTTCTCTCACAATGTCTGCAGTAGTAGGCAACAGTATAAGCACCAAAATCCATTCACATTTAATAATTAAACACAACCTAAATACCAATAAAAAGTATTCATATTTGATAATCAGTAATTTCTGCCTTATTGACTATGCCAAAGCCTTTGACTGTGTGGATCACAATAAACTGTGGAAAATTCCGAAAGAGATGAGAATACCAGACCACCTGACCTGCCGCTTGAGAAGCCTATAGGCAGATCAGAAAGCAACAGGTAGAACTGGACATGGAACAACAGACTGGTTCCAAATAGGAAAAGGAGTACGTCAAGGCTGTATATTGTCACCCAGCTTATTTAACTTAAATGCAGAGTACATCATGAGAAACGCTGGGCTGGAAGAACAAGCTGGAATCAGGATTGCTGGGAGGTATCAATAACCTCAGCTATGCAGATGACACCACCCTTATCGCAGAAAGTGAAGAGGAACTAAAAAGCCTCTTCATGAAAGTGAAAGAAGACAATGAAAAAGTTGGCTTAAAACTCAACATTCAGAAAACTAAGATCACGGCATCTGGTCCCATCACTTCATGGGAAAAAGATGGGGAGACAGTGGAAACAGTGTCAGACTATTTTTGAGGGCTCCAAAACCACTGCAGATGGTGATTGCAGCCATGAAATTAAAAGAGAGCTTACTCCTTGGAAAGAAAGTTTTCACCCACTTAGACAGCATATTAAAAAGCAGAGATATTACTTTGCCAGCAAAGGTCCATCTTGTCAAGGCTATGGTTNAGTTTAAGCAAATTTTCTAATATGCTAATAACCTCCAATAAATATTAAAAATTCAATAAAAATATATCTCAATTCCTGGCATATAGTAGTTGTCATTAAACCTTTACTAACTGAATAAAACTGGTTAATTGATTTGAATATCTTATCATTTTTTCTCAAACTGAATGCCTTTTTTGGCATTATTATCCTTATGGCAAAGTAAATATTTTATAAAGCTTTTTTATTTCTACTAAACTACACAGCAAATAAAACTTATAGTTCTTATTAAAAATCTACATAAAATAAAATCCAATTAATTAAGGACTTTCACTTTATTAAAAGGCAAACAAATAAATGAAAACACTTAACTTATACAGCAATATTGAAATGTTACACTCATCCTTTTGCGACTATACCTACTGACAATCCTGGAAGTGTGAATAATGACAACATTTTTGTCAGTCTAATTTCACTGGTGACACAGCGCCCTATGTACCCCTCTGCCCCTTCCACCTGTTCCCTTTAGCACGCTGAACTTTTTAAGTGAGTGATAAATGAACTCTGAACTATTATTACCTAAAGTGACCAAGATTCTGGGTCTATCTGCTCCAATTAGCTTTTCCCTAGTATATTTTCTTAGGTCAAAGGTCCTAATAGGCAACATCAAACATCCTTAAATCTGATATTGCAGCAAGTTTGTCAGGGAAAAATTAGTTTGGCTGCTGTCTTTCATATCTCTTTTTCTATTGTATTTTACAATAGCTTGGATTATTCCTTGGTATAGGTATCATGGAGAGGGGTGGGGGTAC